GAGGGGAGTGATTAAACAAAGCAAGAGTCACAAATTCTGATCTCTAACCAGATACAAGATGCTACGTGGGCAGCTGTGGTGAGAGGGCATGACTATAAGGCAAAAAAAAAAAAGATCCTATCTATCCTGGCATGTGAAGGCACACACATTCCCGTCCTTGTCTCCAGCACTCCAGAGTGGGAAGCCTCTGAAGTTACTACACTGCAGATTCCTTAACAGAGACATTTTGCATAATTTTTCCATGCTAACTCTTCACCTCTGGTTACAGTGATTCCTGAAATAGTTTTGCACTTCAGCACCTCTCCTTCTCCCTAAGGCCTCAGACCAGCCTCCTTTGGCTCTTTCCTTACTTTGTCTTTATTTTCCTCTTCCTGCATCTCTCCACTTCTCTCCACCCTTCTGACTGGTTCTTCTCAGCCACTTCTAGTTTTCATTCACCACAGTGTGTTTTTACTGCCCACATCTTGTTTCATCTTCCCATCCATAAGAAGGATCCATGCTCCTCAGGGAAGGCAGCCTTCTCTAGCCACCTGTCCTTACTGGGCTGCCCATGTACTGTCACCTTTTCAAGGACAGTTGGAGGTAGATCAGCACCCAGGACCAACAAACTATGACCCCAGCACAAACTCATTACACCTCAGTGCAGCATTTACAACCACTGCAGGAAAGAACAAGAGCAGGCTATCAAATTTGTGCATCAAGGCAGAGAGGTTGTGAAACAGCCTTACAGTCCCCTAAGACATTATTAGATACTTCACAATGCATGCCCAAAATATCTCGGCAGAAAGGGTAGGAGGGGGGAAAAAAAGGGTATCCAGACCTCCTCATCCAGGATGTCACAAGCCAGACGGATGCGGGACACATCGACAAGGTGGGGCTCAGATTTTAACTTCCTGGAACGCAGGCTCCACAGCTTCACACATGAATTATCGAACCCAGCAGCCAGCAGCTTGCTATTTGGTGAAATCTCTGCAGTGTTCAGCAACTGCTCCGTGTTATAGAAGGCATAGAAACAGATGGTCGTTAAGGAAGGGGGCCCGTCCTTGACACGTTTAATGCTGTCCTGCAGTAAATCCAGCGCCGCCTCGTTCTGCAGAATGGAAGCTGGCACATCGCTGGGTTCCAGGCCGTTGCTCTCGTTGCGCGAGGAGCTCCCACCAGCGTAGAGCTGGTAGTCAGTCCTCTTGGCGGGCTGCACATCCAGGTGAATGTGCAAGGTCAGGACTTTGCACAGGGCGTTGTTGTTGTCACTTTGGAGGTAGCGAAGAAGGTAGTTGTAGCTGTCCTCTTGAAGGCGGATGACATACTTGTTGTCCAGAAAAGCCCGGAGCTTCAAGTTGGACAGGATATCTTGAATAGTCATGGTAGTCTGCAACTGCTCAATGATATCCTTCTGGCTGGCATTCTGCAAGAACATGCCATGGAAGCGGCTGTAAAAACTGTCCACTGTGCTTTTTAGGCCATTCTGGACCATGTTCAGATGGAGGTAGACGAAGAGGGGATACAGAAGAGGCATCACTTCATGGCTGTGCTGAGAATCTGAATCTATATAAAAAAAGCAACAAACTTTGATTTCTCAATCCACTGTCTACTGGGAATAAAACAGAGCAAGGACAATTACTGCAAAAAACCTTGACAGTGGCATTAGAGAGCAAGCAAGAGGGAGACTTTTGTTGGCGCATCTAAGTGAACCTCTTCTGTCACCTAAAGGGGATACACAGTACCTATTACAGGTCTGAACAGAGATTTTCAAGTCAGTGAGGTATCTTGTCAGAACATAATTGAGAGATTTCAAACCCCTTTTTAGGTGTGGGCCAGCTATTAAAATACCACCTCATAAAATACATGACAGCTGAATTTTTCCCGTTTATTTAAGAAGAAAAACTATGCCCTCTATTTATTCCAATAAATGGACTTTAAAACTTACTCATTATATTTAAAATAGTATTTAACACACTTAAGTCAAAATTATTTACATAGCTTGTGGGGTCCTGAACTGTGGTGGCTTTTTTTTCCCCTCTCAGCTTCAATAAAACTTGCATGTGGTGCTTTGGATGGAACTGATTTGTCTTCAGGGGAAATGAAGCTACAGTTTCCAAAATGCACTGCAGTATGTTGTGCTTTTGTTTTATTTCGGTGCCTGCTCATGTGCACGCTTTCTCTCTCTCTCCCCCCTCTCTCTGCCAAGGCAAATCCCAGCAGTAATTCCTAGTACACAGTGTAACAAACTCCCGTTTAGGCTGTGCTGTACCTTGCAGAGACTAATCTGTGCAACCCTTCACCAGGTTCTTGGGGCTGTTTCCCTCCCACATCCAGCGGTTGCACTGAGCTGTAAGGAATGGAGCCCTGCTGCACAACACCCTGGCAACATACAGGGAGGGCCACAACAACGAGTTACCAGAAGACCAAACGGTCCAAATTACTGGAACAAAATAGGCATTACCAATCCTCAAACAGCATTGCTGGTCATCAGACAGCATTGCCTCTTTTCAACTTGTTCTTCCCTCCTGCCACTCACAACTGCATATTCTTTTTTCCCCCCTTTATATTAGGCTATTTTTCCTCTCCTGTTGAGCCATCTTCCAGCCTTTCTCTGGTCCATACTGTGCGCCTCTCCCATTTCTATACAGGTAACTACAAAGTATGCACGCTGCGCAGTGTATACATACATATTTGCATACTCAGGCATCATTCTCCTTTCTGTCCCACTGAAACTGGGCCAAAGCCAGTGAAACCAGTGGTCTGTATGCAGTAAAACCTCTCTGCTCTCTTCTCTGCAGGTGTTCTAGACCAGAAAGGCACCAAAGGGAAGGACCTCACTGCAGTAGGGGAAAAAGGGAAGAGATGGGAAGCTGGCAGAAACAGGAACGAAGAAAATGTTCCCCAGGAACATATGAAGAGAGGTTACAGGAGCTGGGTCTGTCTAGCCTGGAGAAGAACAAGGGGGTATCCAACTGCTGCCTTCAGTACCCAGTGGGATATTATGGAAGAAAAGGAGCCAGACTCTTCTCAGAGGTGCTCAGTGAAAGGACAACAGGCAAGCTGCCGCACAGGAAATTCTCACCAAATTGCTCAGCCTTGCAGCTGGGGCCCAGAGGTGCAGAGCAATCTCCTCACTTTTTGATTTTCAAAACCTGGCTGGACAAGGGCCTGAGCAAGCTGATCAAACTCCGATCTCGCCCTGCTCTGAGCAGCTGGTTGAACTACAGACCTGTAGAGTAATTCCTAAACTATCCAGTGGTCCTAGTCCCCTGCCTACTCCTCAGTGCCCCTGGGGACAGGCATCACAGAAATGGCAAGTGCCCTGCTGTGCCTTCTGGCTGGCGGGCAAGTTATTCCCTTGCAGAAACAGAAGCAGTTCGTGTGTGTAAGAAATCAGAACTGAGCAAGAGGGACAAAAAAGAAAAAAAAAAAAAAGAAAACAGTCAGCCTGAACACCAAAACCATGCCCAGCACTTCCCCAAGTGATATTTAAGCAACTGAACAGAACAATCATGCACTTCAAAAATCTGTTAAACTGGAAGGATTTACCTCCAATACTAAAGCGCAATGGTGTTGAACTGCTCTAGGCGACGATGCTAAGACTTCACTATTTTCTCCCTCTGCCTTCCTGCCTGCCTCCTTCCCTTTCCCTTCAACAGCTATCAGGAATAATAATCCTAGCATTATGCACCCTGGGATCAAATCCCTATACTGGACAAATGTAGGTGTGCCCAAATGTGGGAGGAGTGGCAACTTCACTTTCCTTGATACTATTTGCTAAAAATCGTATCTGCTTGCTTCCCACATTTGGGACTCATAGAAGAAATAAGGACATTCCCAGGAGTACCTTTTTTTTAATTATTAAAAAAATTTATAAAAAAAAGAAAAATCATGATTGTCTTCTGCATCACACTACAGAATGAAAATTCTTTTGCCTTCTGTCATATACCTCCAGTCTCAAAGCCAGTACAGATAAATTTAAGGGAACAAATTCTCCCTTAAAAATATAGATCATCATAAAAATAAGCCAATTATGAGTAAAATTTAAAATCCTGAAAACTAGGAGACAGCAGAGAACTAGACTCATTTCTAAGTTACCTGCCTTTCACATAAAACACTCTAATCTTCCTTCTTGTCCTGTATATGTATGCTGTTGTCTGGAAGATCTACAAAGGTCAAATGCTTGAACAAGAAAGGACGAACAGCTACCTACAAAAGCCAAAGGTACTCAGCATTCAGACAACAACAACAAAAGAAGAAAAATTAAATATTTCTAATTGTAGTAACTGAAATCTCAAAACTAGAAATCAAAAGATTGTTAGCGACATGATTTTAAAATGTATTATATTGTTCTTTACTCATTGAAATGACAAAAAGAAAAAAATCAGTTATTTTCCTCTTCCTCGCTTCCCGATATTTACCTGTGAGAAAATTGCGTAATCGTCCAAACTGTACTTCATATTGCTGTGGCTCCGCCAGGCAGGGAGCTGCAGATACAACATTGGCACAACCAGATTCAGATTGGACTGTGAAATAAATCAAATAAAAATTAAATAGGGATTTAAGGAGTTTTGCATGCATGTCTGGAAACAAAGCTTCTCATAAAAGCCAAGGTAATGCAGCCACCAAGATGAGATTTCATCTTTCAAACATGACAAAAAGCAAACATGACATTAACAACCTAGACAGATCATGAATGAGAAAGTATACTGAAAGCTTAAAAAAACCACCACCAACAAAATCTCAGCAACTCACCTGCTCCCCCCAGAATACATTTTTAAGTTTTCAAATACAACCTTAAGTTCCCAAGAAATTCAGAGTAACACCGTCATAGATCCCGCAACAGTTTTACAAGATACTCAGTGGTTTTACTACTTTGCGCGCAGAAAAGATGACGAAAGCAATCTACAACTTTCTCCAAAACAAAGTTTCTTTTTCAGTGAGACCCACCAAGCCCTGTGGACAGAAGGTCTGCAGTGATACTACCCTTAGACTTTCAAATTCCTTGTCCTAGTCATTATCATTGGCAACAAATGATAATCATTATAATTTACTAGTCTCCCAGAGGCGGTGGTGAGAACACACTGAATCTCTAAGCAACCACTTAGTAGTTTTTAATCAAAATGAATGTGTCCTCCTCCCTGGGGATTTTAGGTTAAGGGGCAGCTGGTCTCTGACCACAAACCCAGCTGTTACGGTCTTCTGAGATGGTGTTAAACTGATTTTCAGAACCAGTATCAACTCTGGTAAAAGTGGTTCTGAACTATTTTAGAGAGGGAATTAGCTTTTCCTTCTCTGGCACCAAACCTTTGCTCTTCTGCTAACCTCTCAGAATCCAAGAGGGGACTTTGTGCAAGCCTACAGACCCCCACCAACATACCCTACGCATATACAAATGCCAGTGATTAGAAACCCAAGTTACAAAATTATAACTAGTATGTTTATTCCTCTACTCTTTAGAAGAGTACAAAAGGGCAAGGAGTTTCACTGTTCTCCTTTCCTAATTTTTTTCAATTCATAACTATTTTCCCCTCCACAAAACCTATTTTCATTACTCTCACTTTCAACTCCTTCCAGTCTCCCCTACCCTGCACCTCTTTCCATCCTCTCTTTGCCTTCCTACTCCTGATTGATCGCTTTTTGTTCCAGCATTTGGCTCACGCACAGAGGCACAACTCTTGACAGCCCTGGAAGTCTATAAACAACATCATCAAATGTTCACATGCTGAAGAGAGATAGGCCAGCATCCAGCTCATCTCAGTGCTTCTCGTTAGAAAGAGATCAGCACATGGTGCGCAGGCAGACTGTCGCTATTCTCCCCTCTCTCTCTCTGGTAAGACAAGGGTCTATCTTCCTGGAGCTTATGGAAACACAGGAGGTACGTTTACCAACTCTCCAGGGCAAGCTGAATTCAGCTTTGGAAACACAAGAGCTGGGCTGTGCTCATCATCCTCTCGTGGAAAAGCCAAATACAGATTCCAGCACTGATACCCTATCTCCTCTCAAATCAGTTAAGAAATAAACAAATATAAGGTATTAAAAGGTACAGATACACTGCGCTTTCTACAGCCTGGCTGCTTCAGAAACTCAAAGCTGGTAAGAACTCCAGGCTCATATACTGGTTATTACTTAATGGCTAAAGTAAAAAAACTCTGCTATTCGGACTTAGAATTTAATATAATCGATATTCAGCATGAGAAAGTAAACTGCATGCACGCACTTGCAGTAACTCAAAAATTAGTGACAGTTTTCAATGTCACCCATACTATTCATTATAAAAGCAAAGAAAAACAGAAATATGAGGGCCTGTCTTTTACGTCCTTGGCTTTATGAAGTGCTGCCTCCATGCCACCTATTCAGCTTTCTCTGCATAAGCAACTTAATTCCACAATTAAGATGTACTTCGTGCTCCAGAAAGAGGAACATCATCTTTGGCTATCTATCCTGGAACAGTATGACTGGGCAATCATTATGCCCTACTCTTTCAGTACTGATGCTAGAGCTCATTCCCATCTACCAAATGGTAAATGAACCCTACATACCAGACAGTTGTAACAAGTTCAAATTCTAATTCTTTTCCTTCTCAAAACTTTACACCAACCAGAACTGCAAAAAAGATCAAGAGCCCAACTGATTCAAAATCAAGAGTAAATTTTCAGGCATATTTTCCTCCTGGCGGAAATAAAACACTGGCCCTATCATTGTCATACATTAATGAATCTACCATAGTTTCTTTTCCACCTTCCCCAGCGGTCCTAAGAACATCTATTGGAAACATCTGCTCCTTGACTTCACTTCCAGTAACTGCAGCCAGCTATGCAACCTGATAGCAAATTCAAAGGAACTCGCTTCTAACTCAGGGATATGGACAGCACCCTCCTGGTCTTGTGTGTTGGCTGCGAGCAGCATTGCTTCCAGCTAACAAATGCAGGGCAACTGTAAACGCTACTTAACAGCAACTGATTCCTCTTTTACGTGAGGGTGATGATGCATAATTTTACATTATTTCAGCTAGTCCTATGTGTTGATAGTATACTACAGGCAATATTAGAGGAACCTGTTCCTTAGTCACTCATTGTGTCCTCAAATATTCTTCCTACTCTCCTACAGAAATAAGGGATAGTCACGAGGAAGCTCTGTGCTGTATTTACCACAGGTGCAATCAGACAGGGTGCTAGATAATCTCATCTAGGCTCCTTTTCCCACAAAAGGTTGACCTCGAAAGATCATCTGCTTCCTTTCCAACCTGGGCTGCTCTATGATTCTGTGAAAACAGAGCTGTACGGGTATAGCAAGTATATGAAGCAACGGAGAAGGGCTGAGCTGAAGAGACTCTAGAAGACAAAAAGAAATGCTGAGGTAAAACTGAGAAACAAAACTGTTTAAAACTGAAAACGGAGGACACTTCACTGTGAAAGAAGAAATCACAGAACTGAAGACAGAAGTAAGCAACTCTCATTTATACAGGCTGGTTAACTTACAAGTCAAACAAAAGAAAAGAGCTGAACAGAAAAAGCACAGTGAGTTTTGTTACGGAACGAGCAAAAACATCTTCAGAAAAAAACGCGTGATCTCTTCCCCTGAAATAAAGCAATGCAGGCTGTAGATCGGGTAAGTTTTTATTCAGTTTGCAAAACTAAGATGACTGCAGCATAAAGTATTTTCAGCCTCTGTTGTCAGAGTAAGTACAAGCTGGGTTTTTCTTTTTCAACAGTCATTCGTGGAACTGCAACATACTCACTGACAGCTTACTACGAGCATGTTTGACAAGAAGAAGTAGCAAGCAGCTAAATACATGAGAGCAGACCATTTTCAGTTCTAAAGAAAGCTGATGACTAAGTTCTGAATCACCAGCCACAAAACCCTTGCACTGGCAAGAGGATATAGAAGAAATTTAGTAATAACATTTGGTGGCAGATCAGTAAAAAGACAAAACCCAATCACACACTCATTCACACTCTTTACTGAAACATTTTTTTTCTGCATGATGCCATGCGCAAATGCAAGGGTTTGTAATCCAATTCATCTCTCCTACTTCAGATACTCTTGTGTCCTCCTGGTAGGGTTGGTCCCAAGTTCTAATCCCATTTCAACACCGACCTTTCTACTCACCTCTCCCATAAAATCTCCCATCAAAAAACAAGTCAGCATTTGACTTTGGTTTCATTCCTTCCCTGTCTCCCCCAGTATTATTTCTGGGAGTTGCAACAACCTTCTCATAGTTACTCTGAAAACAGCAAGGAAAAGAAAAGTACTAAGAAGATCTAAGCCACTTCTAATAACAAAATATTACCCAATTTCCTTCGGGCCCTCAAGGGAGTCAGCCTAGATATTTACCCACAAGTCACTCATCTTTGCATTATAACTATGGCAAAATACTCTAGAGCTAGAAAGAGCTAATTTGGCACCCAATCTTATCTAGCTACAAGCACAGACTTATACAGCAACTAATGTTTTGTCAAATCAAGTTGTATCACAAGTAACTAAGGTCCCCACCACTCTCAGCCTGAGATACTGTCACAATCTAAGCAGTTTCACTAACGGAAAACATTTCCTCCTTGCATTTTTACCCAAAGGTCAGCCCAGTATTTTCTATTACTTTTACAAGTAAATTTAATCTTTATAACCTCCACATTGCTTGCATCCTCTCAGTGTTTGTATGGGCTCAAGCAGTAGCATAGTTTACTGTAACCAAAATAATAATTACAGTGAAGACTGTCACAGATGCAATTTGAAAGGCAAGTAGTGTAACAGGATTCAGAAGCCTTTAAGAAAGAGAGGAGAAAGTGTGTGCAGGGAAATAAACCGTCTCATCCACTG